GGACCCGTTTTTATAAAAGATATCCATTTTTAGGTCCATATAATTATTAAAAATATCCAAAGAAGTTACCTAATCATTTTATCATCAAAATTTTATCGCCAATTATAACCATCATTTTAAGAAAATCCATGATGTTACAATATCTGTCATTGGAGCATGGGAGTACACCAAGGAAGACATCTAGAGCACGAGCTAAAACACATCGTGGTAAACTATCTTATTGATACAATTTTGATTTGATCTTCTATATTTGCGATAGACATTTGGTGCAAAATAGATTGTTTAGAAGGCAAGTAAAATCAAGGATATTTGTTTGTTTAGTTTTGGTGGCATGTTGACTATTAATTTGTAGATGATGTTGCGGTAGTGGGTGAGTCCAGTAATTGTTTTAGGATAGGATTATGAAATATGTTGAGTATAGAGGTTGAGATTTTTTTGGGGGTCCTATTTTTAGAGGAAACTATCATTTTTTTTTCCCGAAAATAAAGAACCCAGATCTCTAATACCGTGTGGATAAAAGGTGGAATGAGGTGTAGATCCTTGATTGGTTTAGTGGAATATTGTATATTGGATTGGAATAGCAGTCATGTCGACTGTCGAAGGAATAGAGGGATGGCTAAATTGGAAAAATCATTATTAAGTGGCATTTGTTAGTTATTTTCTCTAGGAGATTTTTGTGTTATGCAAATTCTTTTGTTGAGTCACATGGGAAAAATGGGCTTTATTGATCTACCTTCAAGTGTGTTTTCTTTTTATCCACTGTATGTTGTTGTTTTGCATGTTCGCAACTTGTAGGTTTTTGTCCTTTCTACTTATTTCCAAGGGAAATCATTGTCATTAGTTAATGAATAATCAAATAAACATTGAGCTCGGATCAAGCCTCTTTGCAGTACCTTTGGTGGTTAAAGAGTAAGTGGGTTGGGCAAAATCTAACGATTAAATCTTCATCGAAAAAAAGGTTTGAAGAAATCTAAAGAAAGAGGTAGGTTGACAAATTAAGGAGTTTTGAAATCAAACGAATTCCCTTGGTTGATATTTATTGGAGAGTTATATCCTTGCAGGAGAAACAACATAGTTTAAGGCTTAAATTGTGAGATTTTTAAGGCACGTTTGTAATTTGCTTGATTTCCTCATATTTGGCTCTTTGCAACTTTGAGCTAACTAATAATTTTAATTGATTTATTTTACTGACCCTTCACAAGTGTGACCTGACATACTTATGCACAGATCTGGCTATTGCCATTTTGTTTGTGTATACTTAATTAAGATAACATTGTTAGTTTGGTTGGTGGGACATTGCACCCATGAATGACCAAGAAATTTGTGGTCTCCTGAGTGAGTGAGTGAGTGGGTTTTTTAACAAGTGAACCTAAATATGGCCTCTAGTTGGATGTTGTTTGCATATGTCTTTCTTTTTGAAGGACAGACACCACCTCTCTCTCTCAAATATATTTCTTTTTGGATGATGCTGGTATGGTGGGTGGTGTTTTGTTGGAATGGCCTAGGAACCAAGGCTAGTGATGATGCACAAAACTAAATAAATGGGTTGCTTGTGCCAGCAGTAGCTTTAATTTATTTCGGTTTGTTATTCATCGCAATATAGAGTTTCAGGTTGGCCTGTTATTTTCATGCATAATGATCAATATGATCTAGGATTTGTGAAAATACATAGGAACTCTACGTCTTAGTTTTGGCTTCCTATCTAGTATATGTTAGCTAATCCAACTATTGTGAGAAACTATTTGTTTTCAAGGATGAGGAGTTGCATTGCTTTATTTGTTGTGAAAGTGCCTATATTATGCTTTTCTTCTCTCTTTTTTTAGGCCAGTCTTTGTGTTATTCAAATAGAATGATATGCTCTATTCTAGCAAGTATCTCTACTTCAGTGCTACACTAGTCTGTTCGGGATTGTTACCCTTCGAGTATTGGCAACTTAAAAACAACCGTTTAGTCAATTTCTAGGACTCAAAAGACATTATCTTTTTGGGTGAGCTTTACCAACTTATTGATTTTCTCTTTACAAAAGCTTGCTCGAGCTACTGTTATATAATGACGAAATCTTGATAGCATTTTTGCAGGTTGTGCCAAATACAAGGAGCATAAGTCAGATATGTGAGACCATTGATGGTGGTTTACACTAGATGTTTCGACAGGATTATCTTGTATACTTCATGGGGTTTGTGCACATCAACCAACTTCACATACATTTCATCGTGGATGTATTTAATTTGAAAGAAATTATTGATTATTAACTTTTGCTCGTTCATAGAAACACAGCAACATCTTGTATATTTGATTCTACAAAATTTTGCAGGAAAGTCAAATTATCACAAATGTTGGTCAATGCAATGTTGCTATGCTTGTTCATATTGGTTTTGGTTTTTTTTTTTTTTCTATCTTAGAAATTTCACCTGGTGAAATATGGGCTTAAAAGGTCACCCCCCCCCCCCCATCTTTCCTTTTAAGCTCAGTTTTATTTGACTCGTTTACTTGACTTGTCTGGGGTGATGGAGAGCAATATTCAATATCTAGTCGTGATGTAAGATAAGATCTTAACTAATTTTTTTTCACCTGTTTTCTCTTAAAAACAGTTTCATGTTCCATCTTAATTTATTTGTTGTGTTTCATATATGTTTTGCAGCTTATGGGTGAAGGATTACCTTGCTACCGGTCGCTACATGGATGGGAACATCAATACAACGCTAAAACATGGGTGAGCATGATGCCGGTTTTGCTAATGGTCAGCGCGTGCACCAATGCCTAAAACAAGAGGGAATTACTGTGAGAGACGATTTGATACCATATTCACAGCAAGGCATCGAGAAGTAAATGAAGTTTAGGAGTTGTAAACATAGGAACTTTGCCAATTTATCGTGTATGTACACCGATAATTTTATAGAGGAACTACCATTTTGGTATTGTTGATAATTGAGGGCTAAGTTTGTAGGATCGGTAAATGAGTTGATTTAGAGTTAACTAGATTGATCTGACATTTGGATTAAACTAGATTTATCTATAAACTACATTCTTACAAACCTCTAGGAACCCTTCTAGAATACCAACAAAAAAATATGAACATTGAAAAAAATACTAACAAAGGTAATAAATTTTAGAGATATAATATTAATTATTTTTTTTTACGATACCATAGTCAAGTTGACCTTTTTTGGAGAGCAATGCTATATTTATCAAAATGTATACCAAATCAAAAGGTTCTACTACTTATTCAATTGATTTAGTACAAGTTTTAATGCATAAAATTTAGTGCTATAGATTTATGATTTGGGGGGTTTTACCGCCTCAATTCCCGTGAAAAATTACTCATTATTGCAATTGGGCCCACATCTCAAACTATTTCTCCTTTTTAAGGAGTTGACTGAGATAACGAAGAATATTTTATTTATACCAAATATTTATTTATCCCTGTTGTGATTACTTTTATAATATTTATAATTTTTTTTATTATTGTTGTGGTATTCAAAAAATGATAAAAATAATTACTATAATAGTGATAAAAATATTCATAAATATGGTAAAAATACTCACAAATATAGTAAAAGTACACATAAATGTGATAAATTTTGTTGTATTAAAAAAATAGTAAAAATACCCACAAAAATAATAAATTATTTACAAAAGTGATAATTTTTTAAATTATAAAATAATCTACGAAAATTATAAAAATACCAATTAAAATAATAAAAATTAGAAATACGGTACCAAAATTATTTTTTTTATATCGTAGTCAAGTCCCATTCCCATGGATACAACTTTTTCTTGGGGTGATTACCCAATGATCAAGAACGTTATTCTCGCTCTCTCTCTCTACATCAGGCTTAGGATATGAATTTTGGACATATCCCAAATTAATTTATCTTTGTCCATCGACTGTGGGTTGGTTGCCCTTTTGAGATCACCTGAATAGATTGTTATTTTGTTAGCGCTCCCTCTCCTAGTTCTAAACTCTCCGATCTTAAAAATTGAAGTTTTTTTTTTATATTTAATTTATCTTGATGTAACCGATGTTATTTTTATCCTGTCTCTTTTTTATTTATTTTCTCTATATGAAAAGTTTAAAAATTATCATATAGTAATCTAAAATTTGTAATAGAAAAGAAAATGAGAGATTTTATGCTGATTTTTAAATATTTTCTACTAGGTAATCTAGTACCTAGTTTGAGAGTGCAAGAAAGACACTTTTTCATATTAATAATTGTGGTTGGCACTCTTGCGTTTTCTATCAATATTTGAATGAAATTTTACCGAATTTCAACCAGAAAATCTAACAGATACATTATTATGAAAATTCTGACAAAAAAATGAGACATTTCATGCCCTCGGAGAGTGTTTTGCCATGCCAAGTTACTAACATATCCCCATTTTACTTTGATGCTTAACACTATTTATTTGTATACATATGTTGTTACGAGTTCACGTAACTATCACAAAACAAAGCAAGAAATACAGGAGGAGAAACCCTTTGTTAGAAATCCATAGACAACATTCTGGAACTTCCAAACCAAAGAAATGCAAATGAGAATTAGTTTTTTACGCTTCGCTTCAATATAATGAATTTGGTAAGTATACGCCCTATGGTCGATTGAAGGTTTTGTGCTACATGAACTCAAACCCCAACTAAACACAACTTATAAGTGAAATATTAGCATTACCAATACTAATGCTCCTTTTAGCACTAGTCCTCTGAATACATCCCAAGGGACAATTTTATAGAGCACTGCCTCTCTGTAAGAATCTCCAATAAAATATGACTGGATATAACATATATAATACATCAACTAGGTTAGAGCCTATCAATGGTTGAACATATTAATTCCAGAATCATAAAATTGAATTAGAGATTGGTAAAGATCAAAAGACTAACAGACAATCAGAAATATTTCAATTACAAGTTTATGGATATCCAAATATTAGCTCATGCAACCTAGCTATACTAAAAAGCTCAGGACAGAGTAGGTTCCTGTAAGCATGGATGAAGAATCTCACTCCCACCAAGGTTTTTCTGCTAAATCTTTAGATAACACATACCGGAACCTTGAACTGTAAGGCAACCATTCTGCAATCTTAGATGATTTCCTACTGCTTTTCCTATCAATGCATTTCCGTATTGAATCATGGAGCTTCTTATCAACATTTTCCAACACCCACTTGAGAAGATCATCAGAGGCAATAGAGGCTTCCTTTGCAAATCTTTCAAGCACCCGTGGAAGGAACACTTTCTTGGATTTCTTCACGACTATATTTGCTTGAAGAAATTCCCTTTTTGCTATTTCCAGTTCCTCTTGAATATTTGATGCAGTGTAGACTTTTAGATTTAAAAAAAGGAAAAAAACAATATGTTCAATACAATGTGCTCAAACATGGGTGTTACAAAGGAAAGTGTATGTGGAGGCAACTCCAAGGTGACTGACTTGAAATTAGTAAGTTGCTGAACTCTTTTGAAGGAGAACAATCACACTAGTGAATAATTTTTAAAAGAAGCATATGTGCATCCATGAAGAAACAATGGGAAAGGCTATGTCGGAGGTTGAAACAGAAGTATTAAGCAAAAATTAAGCCTCTTTTTTCACTCACAATTTTAGACACCCTTCATCAAAATTGCATCTGAGAGGCCATGACAATTATTTTGTCAACCATGGTCATTCTGCATGAATTGTCAAACCAGGAAAAGAAATGGTAGTCATTTTGCTAAAGGCTGCTTGAAAAAATAACATGGAATAACTTTTGAAACATCCTGTCGAAACTGGTCCAGTTACCATTTCCAGCCAATAAACAACAATATTGGTTAGTATAATATGTAGTCATTTTGATGACAGCGAAATTATATGTCGATGATGTTATCTATACAAGTTTCGATTGCCATGTTCTCAAAAAAGCCAGATGCAAACAGAGCCAAAACATAGTCAACATGACTGTGGACAAGCTCAACTTCTGTGTGACACCCAAACACACACATGGTGTGTTTGGGCAGGAGGTTAAAGCGGGTTAACACCCGGACAGGTTAATAGTGTGCAATGGTCCCAAAAAACCCTTGTTTGGCAAGTCATTTTTGAGGTTGGATTAAAATCCTCGGTCAGCAGTGCCCAGTAACCCTCTTCATCGGCTAAACTTAACCCCCCCCCCCCCCCCCCCCACCCCAATGGGTAACAAACCCTGCCAACAGGATAACCCCACCATAGACAGATTTGCCCCTCCTATCTCTTTCTCCACCCACTCAGCCCCCTCTCTTTCTCCTGGCAACCAGAGCGCAGAAGGAGCTGATCTCGTCCAAGGCTTGTTGCACATAGGCGAGGAAGAAGACAATAATCTAAGGTCCTCCAACTTTCTGCTTAGTGTGGATAGAACGAAGAAGACGATCTTCGAGGAACAGATCTGGATTCCATGTACGATCTGGAATTGAAGGAAGCATTGAATTGACTTCTCAGGGAGATCGTGGACGCGAGGAATCAGCGCCTCAAGCATTCTATGGACCTCTCATAAAGCACGAGTACCTCCCTGAACACCTTCTCTCTCTCTCTCTGTTGGAATGTTTGGTTGTTCAAAGAATCATTTTTTTTCCTTCATTGGAATGGCGCTTGTAGGTTTAGTGTAATTTTCTCTTACTTTGTTATTGTGTTTTAGCTATTTTTTGTAAAATTGTGAAGAAAAAAGTAAGAAAATAAAAGAAAATTTGACCTATTTTTGGTGTTTATTGTTTGAAGAGACATTCTTTTATTATATTTCAAGTATTGGAACTGATTAAGGGAATCTCAAACATTTGCCCAACACTGTCAATTCCATGTATAATTACAATAGATAGGGAGCTATACTATCATTGTGAGGTTTTGAACCTGATTTTTGATCCTCTAGATTGCATTTTTGAAACAAAGAATATTTGGTTCAAAGCATTTACATTATTTTGTAGTTATATTGGGGTTATCAAGGAGTACAATAGCACAGTGGAAGTTCGAACTCCCACTTCGTCATGGATGACACAGATCAAGTTTGTAAACAAGATTCAGTTCTGGGCTCAAAGATAGTTTCATCCATTTTTGATCCATAAAATAGGACCGAATTGGCTAGTGGCATAATAGTCAAAACATATTATTTTAATGTTTTTAAATCATCTTTGTCCATAGGCCTACCAAGATGTAAAATTAGTTTACCAAACATTGGTTTGGATACATATCCAATCTTTTTCGAGTATCCAAAAGCACCCAATGGGCTTGTTTGGAGCTAACTAAAATAGATAGTTTTTACAGGATTTGTAGTAAAATAAGTCAAGTGTGTTTGCACATTAGCTTTTGTATCAAGCTTATGCAGTAGCTTTTTGGATCAAAAAAGACTTATTTAGACTAATTCAAGAAAGTGATTTTGTGAGCTTTTCTTCTCTTTTTTTGGAGTTTTGTCACGGGTCTCACATATCTTTTTAGTTTATTATATTCATAAAATATTATTAATAAAGGAAAACAATTTAAAATTCATATTTTATGAACTACTATACATACATGTAGTTATGTTTTTATTTTGACATAAAAAAAAAGCTAGAAAGTCATCTCAAACAGACTTTTTTCAGCTTTTGAATTGGAAGACTTTGTTAAGTTTGATTTTTTTGCGGAGTTTTTCAAACTGCATAATTTTCACCTTAAAAAACTAGATCCAAACTGTTCCAATATATGAAAAACTTCAGCTGAGGTGGACATATTTTCAATTTATAACCAAACTTTATCAGAGACCCAGTGTACTTAAACCAAATTACTATGCGCTAATAATGATGCAAGAAATGCAGTTTCTAATTCGTTGCATTTAAACTACCATATGAATATGAAAATAAAAACCGGTCATTGAATCAAGAAGTTACCACGGGTTCAGAGAAAGCTCCAGTGCAAAGGGCGAAGCAAACAAGGGGTTGGCAATTGTGAAGACTGAATTTCGAATTGATGCGTTGTCTTTCTTCTCCTGATTTGAGAGATCTTGACATCGAGTCATCAGAAATTGAGAAATTGATAACCTATGCTTCAAATATGAGAGCTATATTTTGTGTGTGAGGACTATTAAATTTTTCTGGAATCTTAATTAGGTTTTATTTGAATAAAGGTTGGGATTTTGACATGTCTTCCCTCTCTCACACTACCTTTTATATGTGGAATCAACATTTTGTTAATGTTCTGCTTTTTTTTTTGGGATGTCCTATCGATTTTGCGTGTGATGTCCCAAAAATCGGGGGTCCTTTGTCAACCCGTTGATCACCCATCAACCTGCAAAATACCTGTGAATACCGTGTAACACAATATCACGCGGTTATGCCCCATTTATCAGGTCTATTGTTGAGTAAACATATAATAACATGCAATGTTACATTAAAAATAATCCATGTGAGTTCGACTATAATTATTTTACATACACTACATGCCCAAAAACTAACTTAATGAATATTTTACAAAAACATAAATTTTTTCACAATAGTTTTACAAAACATGAATTAAAAGCCACAAGTCAGCTTTTCTTTATCCTTGTGGCCACAAGTCCACTGGTATACAATCTGCACCTGAAAGTGTTTTTCCATAAAAAATAAGTCACGCTCAATAGGGTATCTCCTAAAGAGATCACTCCCCAACCTAAGTGCACATGAAATGTCTACATGCAACATTCAATAAGCAACAATCATTTCAATCAAGAATATGCAATTCAATGTTGAAAATCATCATGTCATGCTATGAAATGATATGAGACTCACTCATGCACTTCAACCTGAGTCATTTACCAACTCTCATAACACGTGTCATGTCAATGTGTATGAATCCGTCATTTATGGTGCACATCAAATGACCATTATAAATCTCGGGTCTTTCTTGAAGTGAGTATTCATGGATTTACACCAAGGGTCACCCAACCCACACGGAATTCATGAACTTCCACAAAGGGTTCTGCGTACACCCACACACATTATAGGCTGAACCAAGGGAGCGTGTAACCTAATCACCGGGTCTTGCACTAGAGGAATTTTCGAGCCCTTCTTGCTAACTCTGGCCCTATTTTCAATATAAACCATGTGACTCAGTTGAACCTCGATCCAACCATCCCGAGCCCATGAATCATTCACCAAGAATGGTGTTTGATCAAGTCATACACCCACACCCACACCCACACTCATGTCAACGCCCAAGAATGTGATATCTCCGTGCATATGCAATGTAATGTACGATTGAAAATTCAATATCATGTCTAAAATGCTATGAATGTCATATGAACAATTTCAACTCTATTCAACACATAACATAGTCAATTATATCCAAAACATATAATTTTCATTAATCATCATCATATCAATATGTCATGAGCATGTATCAACATTTGCATTTAACAACAATTTTTTTAAGCATGTTATCATATAATCTTATGCAATTAACACACTTTATTTTACATAAGCATTTTATCAAACACCTTCAAAACACCAAATCATGTAATCACATAAAATGCTCAAATTCATCACATAACTAAAAAAAAATCAGATTAAGTGATTTGCACATACCCAATTATCAAAACTTCCAAAAAATCACAAACTACCAATTTTTAATTATCAATTCATACTACAATTGAGTTTACCCATTTCCATTAAACCAGCTACAATAGGCAAGTGTTAAAATACAAATAATAGCCCACTTATTTTGTATATTCATCATAGGTTGGAAAAAAAACCTAGTTATGATGAAAATCTTACCTCTTGAAGCGTAATACAACCGCAGAAGGCTCTAAAAACACAACTCAAGCTCTAATCCAAGCTTTTTCCAAAATCTCATTTTTGAAACTTCGGTAAAATCCTTCATTTTTGGAATGTAAGTGTAGCATTCATCACGTAGATCTACTTTAACTCTTGGCTCAAAGGATTCCGATCGACAGAACTCCGTAGATCGTAGAGAGAAGCCTAATCTCTCTTTTTTTTCTTCCTTTCCCTCTCTTCCAAAGTGAACCCACCGGAATCAACATATAATTGTGCCTAAAAATCAGATTTTTTGTTCCTATTTATACCCTTTAATGGTTGGTCCACGTTGCGTCACGCGTTCCCTATTTTCGTGTCCGTTTTTTCTCCAAAATGATTAAATTTTGTTCCGGTTTAAGTTCAAGATATTTTTATATGAACTTTCTTTAAATTATAATAAAATTTTAGAAAATTTATTTTTGGAGCGTTTTTGAGATCACCCGACGACACCTTGTCGCCTCGAAAAACGTAAAAAAATCGACTATCTCATAATTCGACGAAAATTGTTTGAGTAATTACATTTTGCGAGACAAATCCAACAGTGATGTATGTTTCGTCATCCGAACTCTAGAGAAATAAGGGTTTTCAACTCGCACCGAAGTGACAAATTACTGTTTTGCTCTTTTTCATAAAAAGTTCAATTTTTTCTGAGTTTTACAATACAATTTCTTTCGATTCCCAGGTGGCACCAAGGGTTGCTAAGAAATCTACTGTGTTGTAGACATTTGCATGAAATCTAACTCCAACATATGCCAAAATTCATCACAATACCCCCTAGACCTGTTGAAGGTACATAGTGTTACTGGTGTTTATTTCATGCCATTGACAACAAAATTTAAATGACTTATATGTTTACCTTCACGTGTTGAATCAATTCTATAACAACTTGATGAGGTATTCGTTTAACTGTGCACGTGATTTATGAGTCTGATGATTTTGGTTTGGGTATGGTTGGAGGATTTATCTTTGTGTTGGAAGTAGAAAAAGACAGAGGACAAAGTAATGGAGAAAAAAAATTAAATGTCCACGGCCATGGTTGAACACTTAATTTGCAGTTAACAATATAGTTGAAAAATGTACTCTTACCACATTTTGAAGCATAGAAATATAAGATAAACAACATCACTCCATCCTTCTCATGGAAGCTACGGGAATGATTCCATAAGACAAAGACATAAGTGAATAACATTGAACAAGTGATAAAAACACATAATTATAGATGTTGTGATAAACTTTGTATTTTATATAGGGGATTATTTTTACATTTTTTTCTACCTGTGTAAATGATCTTCCTTGTAAACCGGGAATGGGGTTAGGTAAACAATATGAGATGTTTGGTGAGGCTGATAGTGACAGGTTGTCTGTATAAGTTGCACAGAGCAAGATACTACAATATTACCGAGTAGTAGGTTTCTTTGTCTTTTTCATTTCTTTTTTAGGTCCTATGTTCACAATCAAATTACAAAAATTGGCACTAAAGGGCAATGATATTCATTGAGGCAAGAGTTATAATGGCACAATAAAGTATAGGAACTCTCAGGTCGATAGTTATATCCACTACACGCAAATGAGATGCCTGTTAAACAAGTAGTAGTTAAATAGTAGAGATTTTAAAATGATTTTTCATTGTTTAAATTTTATTGCCAATGGAAGGCTAATACCAAAAAAGATTTCAACCAATGAGTTTTTGGTCTAATTGTAATTTTATCTTAGACTTTTTGAGGTAATGAGTTCAAGTTCTCCTCCCCCTTTCCTAAAAAAAAATGAAGAAAGATTTCATAATTACTTATATTCAATGTTCCACCAATACAAACAAAGATTTTAAACGACGAGATTCGAAAAACACAAATAGTTTACAATACACAGAAAAAAAACATCACTTGTACAACAAATGGAAATGATTTAGAGAAACCTGATTCATAAGTTATATGTAGATTAATTACTACATTAATTTAGGAACAAAAAGACTCATCGATGTTACAAATTGAATGGTGAATAGTGAAATTTAGTTTGGAGAATAAAACAATAAACATTGTTTGGAAACTCATAGAGTTACAACCTTAGGAGGTAGAATATCAATGAAGTTGTATATTATTTTCTCTTTTTTTTGTCTTTTGGTTGATTTTTTGCCTTTTAAAAACACCTCATCAGTTAACATGCTAAAGGTAATAAAGTTGAAAAATTAAAAGATCAAAATCAAATAAAAACTTGAATTTATTTGAACTGGTCTTTATAAAAGTATTATTACAAAATAAGGAAATTTTTTTTAAAACATCGTTGAATTTATACACTAGTTAAATTACATTTTGACCCCTTAAATTATGTTTTTTACTTTATTTCCTTAATTATTATTATTTTTTACATTATCTTCCCAATTATTGAATTTTTCACACTGCCCTTTAACTAATTTAATTATTTTATACTGCCTAATCACATACGTCAATTATTTTTAGATGAAAGTTGTTGATGTCAATTAATTAATTACTTTCCATTAAAAACCATGATAATTGCGGGGACAAAGTTAAAATACAAGGCAAGACTGTTCAATTGGTTTCCTAATCCGAGTTTGCCGTTAGCTCACACCGTCTTCTCCTCTCTTGGTTTCCTAATCGGTTGTTCACGAACTATATGTAAGCCAAAGCCTCTTTTCTCCTTTAATCTCAACAGCTCTCTCTCTCTTTGTATCTTTAACGATTCGATAGAAACGACGATCGTCTCATCGTAAACACTAAATTCCACCACCAGATCAATTCTTCGCCTCCGTTTGTTTGATTTCTCTCTCCTCTCTCCGAAAATATGCAGCATTGTAAAGCAATGGAGTCGTTGATCGAACTCTGCGATCTGATCGCACAAGATCCTTCGCAGTTTGCTGATAAATTGGCTTGGATTTGTGGCCAATGTCCACCAATTGACTCTGTTCGGGCCGGATCATTGAGGGTTTCGAGGTCACAACTTAATGCAGTACTCGCCACGGCTAGATTTCTTTCTAAATGCTCCAGTTTCGATGACATGAGGCCCAAACCGGGATTCCTAGGGTTTTTAGGCCGATTCCGTATTCTTTCGCTCAATCTTTTTGGCCGGAGTCGTTTGGAATCGCTTCGTTCTTTAAGGATTTCTTGAGTTATGTGAATAAGGCTAGTGAGTTGTTCTCAGATTTTGCCATGGACGTTGCGGAGTATATGGGAGAGATTGTGATGTCGGCGATTAACAATGTCAGTGGAGATTTGGAGCTTTAAAGGGTTTTCTTGAATGCTCTGTCGCAGAAGCTGTCTGCTGCTGCTCATGGAGAGAAGTCTGGGGGTTCTTAAAGAACTTTCGAATGTACTCGGTAATAATAAATTGGATAGCTGTACGTTTTTTTCACATCATCAATACAATCGTCCAATTTGTAGCTGCTTTATTGTATGTGATTTTGTTTTTCTGATCGTAGTTAATTGTGTTTATGGCTTCGCAGTCGCACTGTTACCATATATCCATCTCCCAGGGTTGATGTAGACCAATGAGTTTTGGAAGTCTCTGAAGGGGTAGACAATCTTTTTCAATATTAAAGTTTTTCTTCCTGTTCTTTTGGTTATTATTTTGATACATGGATTTGTTTTCACTGCTTTCCTACGTCAATTACCTAAGTGAAGAGTTATCTTAAGTTTTTATTCACTATTATGCCTTCACTTTTTATCTTAATCCCTCATTCAAGTATTCACTATTAGATTGTTTGCTTCCTGCTAATATTGGTAATTTTGGTAAATACATGTTGGTGTGGGATTTAAAGGTCATGCCATGAGGGATGAGGTGCATAAGCTGATTTTTTATGGTCTGCAAAGTAGATTACTGTCTATATTCCAGGTCCTTCTATCCTTTAGCTATCCGAACGCATGGTAAGTTCAAGGCTATGATGCAAACGCATGGTAAGTTCAAGGCTATGATGCAAACGCATGGTAAGGTCTAGGCTATGATGCAAAGTTCAGTGGGATCTTGTCCTGCTTTATGCTTTCACTCGTAGGAGTATGCAATTTTTTATGTGGATGTGGGATGTTAAGAGTGTAATTATATTTATTTATCATTAAGGGTAGTCTAGTCTTTTCGTTATTGTAGGTTCCTTTTATATTGTCCCTTGTACTCACTTTTCATTATTATGAATACTAGAGTGCTGCATATAGTTTTTCTCTTCTTTTATCCTCTCTTTGTGTGATAGAAGAAGAAAAAACCATATGTGGCATTGCCAATGGCAATTGGCTCTGAGAGTGCAAGCATTGGGTATTTAAAAATGCAGTATTAATTCACCTTTATATCCCAAAAGAAAAACCATCATAATCATACTTGATTCTTTGAGAGGCCAACCCACAAATTTTGCCTTGTTGCCAAGTGCAATGTGCATGGGGGGGGGGGGGGTTTATTATCATATGTACTGTAATACTGGAATTTTTAAATTCACTTTATCGTCTTATTTCTATTTGTTTTATAGAACGGTATACATTTCGTTTGGTTCAGTGTTTAGATAAGGTGCAGTTATATGTTCTTATCAAGAGATTGATTGAGCAAAACACTCTGCTCGACGATAATATTGTTCACGAACTTCTTTGTATGGTTAGTATATTTATTCCTTTGTCCATTCGTACTTTTGTTATGTTTGTTTGCTGAACTCTTTTATTTTGTCCATGCCCAACTGGTGACATGAATTATTTTCAGGTATGGAGAATTATTGTCTATTCAATGTAATTTTTTCATCTATGTCATTATTTGTTACTATTATTATAATAATTTTGCTTGTTCTTGTCTGAATTATTGGCTAGGATATAGTTCTAATGTCCCAAAATGTCCATTGTCATAAATGCTCATATTTTAAGATATACAATCAACACCTGCACACATTTTCCTTTGATGAATAGCTCTTTTGTATTAACGCTCATTCCCATGGTTTTTGTACTGATTAATGTGGTTACTTAATCTACTTCATAGGCTATGAAGGGAAGATGTGCGAACCTTATCTAAATTGTCTTTTAATGGACACCCTGGTACACCTAAAAGAGCAGAGGAGGCCAATTTTTTAGGACAAAGGATGTATTTTTTTTTACTATTGTATGCTGTGCATCCTTATACCTGTCTTCTATAATTATTTTTGTCAATCCTAAGGGGTTGACACAGAGCTTTTTTGGAATATATAAATAGATGAACTTTCAGGGACATTGATTGTATATGGTGGTTCTCATTGTTGAGAGCAACCTGTTTGACTTTTGTTTTGCCTCTTTTATTCATTTCTTTGTGTCATGAAGGTTATGCTTCAGTACTATATCGAGTGGCAAGTTTTCTTGGAGTGCACCTTACAGATTGTCATGCATGCTTCAGTTTATTATACAACTTTTTTTGGGGGCATCCCCTTTATTGACATTCGTAGGGGCTGTATAAAACCTGTGTTGTGTGCTTTATTCATTTGAGCTGTTTGTTTATTACTAAGAAATGTTTAGTTAAATTTTTCTTTCATTCTATTGTTTACTACAATCTTATCCCAAATTACGTCATTCTTAAATTACCCCAATTTTATCGCCAGAAGCTACTCTCTCTCTGTCTATTTATATACTTTTTGAATCTCTTGCTAGAGAGGAGTTTATTAATCCAAAATAGTTGCTAGATCAAGAGGAGGGCAGTAACCTGTCCTTTGCAAAGATGTAATGGTCTACAAGAAAAAAAAATTAACGTAGATGAATTTAAGCACATCCCGATTTTGTGTAAAAGTTATAGAACTCTATTTTGGGAAAATGGAAGAAGAAGAGGAATGACATGCATAATTGATCTCTTGATTTGTGTCTCTGTAATTAGCTTTTAATCATTTCCATGGTATTCTTTCAAGCTTAATCGCATATGTAGTAGCATAATTGAAGTAGCAAATCTTTGTTTTTCCTTTCCCTCTGTTTATTCCTCCTTTTGAACCGTAATCACATGTATAGTGGTGCATACATACGCATGCCAAGTTAAATGGGATCACGTCGGTTGATTGTAGACCCTGAATGGAACGCTGCCGCAAGCCGCATTGACAATTAGTTTTGTTTTGGTGAGCTTATGGTACTTCTTTGCTGAATTCTATGATGTTGTTTAGGTTGTAATATTTATTTTCAGTGCCCCCCCCCTTTTTTTTTCAAACTCCAGCCTACATACATACATATATTTACCACTTGTGGATTCCTATGGTTTTGTCAGTGGGATCCAATTAATTTTAAAATGGATGATCATTCTTGACCAAAATTTGAAATTAAGAGGATCTAATTCGTTTAATAATTGTGGTTTGTTATCATGTGCCTGATTTGTTTGCTGAGTGTCTTAATTATTGTATATATGTGATCATTTGTGATGTAGTGTAGTTAGCTTAATTCTCAGTGTGCAGTCAGTTCGATAGAGTTAAGGGCAGTCTGTGAAAAAGGTATTCTTTGATAATTATAACCATTCTTGAAATGGGTATACTAGAATGTTGATCCTATTTTATCATATATTTTTTATTTTGCTTGGATAGTTCTTTCCGGTGGGAATACCCTATCATGACCGAAATCATGTTTGTGGTATTTGCAGCTTTTTACATGGCCATTTTTGCTAAAGATGATCATACCATGATCATACTTTGGTACAACTTTTGGTGCCATGATTAGTTTGACAGTACAACTTTTGACACTTCCTTCAAACATATCTTTGGAACTTTTGTGGGCTTGCATACATATTTTCTTTGGTTTTGCTGTGGGGTTGGAGTTTCATGAATGTTAGAATATTACTGGCATTTTTTTTTGTGGGGGTAGTCATACATTGCAACAATTTTGAAATTTGACTATGAGTTAGCTAACTTTACTGGTTTACAAATGCATCTCAGAATTATACTGATGTAGATTTTTCATAGTAACACGATTCTTTTTGAATGTAAAGCTCGGACTGTTATTCTATATCCTTGGGTAAAATTAGTGATTGGGGTGCACTTAGGTATTTACACTTATGTGAACAAGCGGATGACAACTATTTGTGTGGTACACACATATTCTGGAACTCTTTTGCTCGTCCGCTCGTGCTCCAGCATAGAATAGCGACATATCCTCAAATCCAATTGTATGTGCCCCGACTCTTGCTTGTTATTCACTTCCATATTCCCTATATGCAGCTAGTCACAGTTAATTTTGGTAGAATAAAATTTATTCACGGAAACAATTCTACCAATGCTTCCTTCATTTATATCTAAATATATATCTATACTATTGATATAAGTATGGATGCATGAAAAATTTTTGATCACCTAAAATGACCCTATCAAAATACTTAATAACAAATATAGTGTCCCGTTATTATTAGTATCATTCATAACACTACGTCTTTTTTAATAGCTTACAATAATAAATCTCTCCACATATTCGTTAATTATATAACTTCCCTTACTATTTAAAAGTTAGAAACAAATTTTCCCTTTTTAACATGCACAATAATGTCTGATGATATTAGTAGTAACAATTTTATAAATACCAAAAATATCATTAAAGCCATTGGATAGATTAGTATAACCCTAAAATACTGATTAAATGACATAGCTCTTAAGAAAAACAAAATATTCAAATATGTAAGCTGGTGCATTTCCGGCAAAGGTGGATTTCAGTTAAATTTTCATATTCATTTGTTGTTTATTTGCCTAAGATACCATGTGAATATTTATTTGTGTTCGCATTTTTTTATTTCATTCAAATGAAAACCATTCCCAATTCACCACAAAAGTGTGAAAATGTCTAACATTCACTTCGCTATTACTCGCACACACTCAGATGACTGTAAATCCATTTTTGTCAATGTTTTCTCTCTTCTTTTCCTCTCATTCAGGTGATATTAATATATTTATTTATCTCTCACTTTTTTTTTTTCTGTTGTAGAAGATGTCGATTACTAACTTCTGCATTTTAATTCCTTGTGTTTCACTTATCCAGAGTTCCTTGATTACTTGGGTGTTTTCTCAGGCTAGCCAAGGCCAAGTTTATCGTGCCATTAATGAAGGGTTTATTATGGTAACATTAACATACATCTGGTCATGTAGCATATTAGGAATTGCTTGTTTCTATCTGAATCTTATTTGTGATTGTTGATTGGATCTGACTATTTCTGCTATTATATCAGGTTTTAGAAGATAAATTTTAGTAGGTTAATCTGGACCAGATTTAGTCGTTATCTCTTCTCTTATTGTTTGAAATATTTTTCTTCCTTTTTCCCCTGTTTTTGTGGCATCTTCAAGCTTTAGATGAATTTTTTTTTCTTCTTTGCGTTATGTTTCTGTAGTTTATGAGTTCTACAATCTGCCCTTTTCAGGTCTTTGAACAAGCTAGCTTGCCCGGATTGTCATGAGGCGACCTGTGGTGTTGCAATTGCAGAAGATGGTGGATGGGCAGCAGGAGTATGCCAAGTTTGCTCATATACGGCGCAGGAGATCCACTGATTTTTGTATGTATTTCCTACTGAGAATTTCTTTAGCTAATTTATGTGCTTGGCTATTTTTGGATTAGACAGTGATTGTGTGAT